GGTTAATTAAAAAAAAAATATATATATATATATATAAGGAACTCCTACAACTCAGTAGCAAGAAAGCAAATAGCCCAATTAAAAAATGTTCTAAGGAGCTATATAGATATTTCTCCAAAAGAGACATAGAAATAGCCAACAGATATATGAAAAGATGTTCAACATCATTAATCGTCATGGAAACATAAATCAGAACCATGGTGATATAACCTTACACCTGTTAGAATGGCTGTTATTTATCAAAAAGACAGAAGATAAGAAGTGTTGGTGAGGCTGTGGAGAAAAGGGAACCCTGTACAACATTGTTGGAAATGTAAATGGTACAGCCATTATGGAAAACAGTATGAAGTTCCCTCAAAAAATTAAAAATAGAACTACCATATGATCCAGCAATCCCACTTCTGGGTATTTATCCCAAAGAAATAAAATCAGAATCTTGAAGAGATATCTGAGCCCTCATGTTCACAAGAGCATCATTCAGAATAGCCAACATATGGAAACAAACTAAGTATACATTGTTGGATGATTGGATAAAGAAAATGCAGTATATATAACTACACACACATATTACACACACACACAATGTACTATTATTCAGCATTTAAAAAGGAAATTCTGCCATTTGCAACAATATGGATGACTTTGGAGTACATTGTGCTGAGTGAATTAAGCCATACACAGAAAGACAAGTATTGCAAGATCTCACTTATGTGGAATCTAAAAAGGTCAAACTCATAAAAGCAGAGAATGGAATGGTGGTTCCAAGGTCTGGGGGTTGGTGGAAATAGGGAGACGTTGATCAAAGGGTACAAAGGTTCAGTTATGAGAGATGAATAAATACTGGAGACCTAATGTACAACATGGGAACTACAGTTAATAATATCATATTGTACACCTACATTTTGCTAAGAGAGCTGATCTTAAGCGTTCTTACCACCAAAAAGAAAAAATGTGAGGTAAGGGATATCTTAATTAGCTTGATTGTGGCAATCATTTCACAGGGTGTACACATATCAAAACATCACATTTTTGATATGATATAAATACATACAATTTTTATTTGTCAAGTATACCTCACTACAGCTGGAATAAACATATTTAAGAAAAAAATCTATGAACTATTTATGCCATATAAACTTAGATACAGCAGGGATCGTTATCTGCTTTGTTCACTATTATATCTTCGGCTGAGAATAGTGCAGGAGCTCTATAAATGTTGATTGATTACATGAATAACATATATAATATATGATATAACTTATTAGGCTTGAAATTACAATATTTAGCCTGTTTATGCATACAGGAATAATTTGTACATGCAAATCTAGTATAGTTTTAAGGGATTTATAATTAGCTACTCACTTTTGGTCTTTTGGGAAGGAGACTCAACAGGAGGTGAAATGTGTGTTTCTTGTGTTGCATCTTCTTGCACATGCTCTTCAAGGACTTTTGATCTTCCCATGCCTTCTAAATATTCTGTGTGCACACATTTTTGAGATTACATACTTGAATTCATTTATTTTAAAATCAGTACCTAAGCAGTTAAGTTTTACTTACGATAAGTTTTTCATTTATTTTCTCATATCCTAAATATAATCCTGTTTTTTAAAGAATTTCAAAAAACAAAAAAACAAATGAACGTCATGATGAGCTATTAAGGATTCCTAATTTAAAAATGAAACCAGATACTTTGGGAGAATCTCATGAATCCTTTTCTTCTGAAAACCAAACTTACCATACTCTTTCTTTAAAAAATAAATTCACCTGTTGAAGATACAAAAGCCTCCTTGATCTTCTTAAATATTTTCTATCTGAAGATTTAAAACTTTCTGAAAGATGCTTTGAATAGATTTGATCCCTAAAACAGGGATATGAAATTCAGATGGATACAACAACCAGTCAGGTAACATAAATGGATAAGTTTATTTTATAATGGTGCTGTAATCTTGCAAGATGAGCATAATTTGCATCCTAAACTGCACTTCCACGAAAAACTAATGTTCATTCCCATTATTCTCACAGTAATGTCCTACACTCAGCCTATCTGTCTTTTCTCCAATTTTGATAAAGACATAATAATAGTAATAGCAGCTAAAACTTAAATGCTGCTTACTATGTATTCAACATTGTTCTAAGCATTTGATATAAATTAACTCATCTAATCCTTTTAAAACTATGACACAAGCACTATTACCATCTCATTTTTAAAGATGACAACTAGGAGGCTTATTAACTTGTTTGTATTCATACAGCTAATAAGTAGGATAGCCAGATAGACCTGGGACAATAAAACATCTCATTTTCTCTTAATCATAAGGAAAACAGCATCTGAATGCAGGGATAAATGTTAGCTAATATTCAGCCTCAGTGTCACATAAAGAACAAAGTATGTAGAGCATGTTTAACCAGAAAGCAGGTGCCCATCTAAAGTTCAATAATGAACTAAAATGAAACCCATATTTTTTGAGAAGACAAAACTCTGTAGTTTTAGATGAAATTCTATCTTTTTAAATGTTGACAGGTAATTCAGTTTTTATGGAAACACAGTGTAGGCCAAAAATATGTGATCTAAACAAAACATATCTATCTGCAACAACATTCAGCCTGCAGTGGCTAGTTTATAGCATCTGTATAAATGATTAAATCAACAGATTCCCTTCCCATAGGGTTCTTTTGCTTGTACTTCTTTACTCAGAATTTTTTTCTTAAAACCCAGTTAAGAAAGCTTATACTCTCATGTCAATCAATTGTGTCCTCATACCATTCAAATAGTTTCTACCAAACAGCAAATTCTACTAGGAAAGAAAGCAACCTATGGGATTCTATCCTCAAAATTTTTGAACCACGTAATAATTATGTAAATTGAATAGTGATTTTGTAAAATAGTGATTTTATGTAATATGAATAGGCTCTATTTCAATAATAAATTTTTTCATTAGATTTAAAATGTACCAGTGACTTGAAATCCAGGAATGTAAACAACACAGATAACATACTCTAAACATATTCTAAAATTTGCCAGTAATTTGAAAAATTCAAAGATGACCCATACCCTTATCGCAAATTGATATACCTAATGAATCTTGACTATTTAAGAGAGAAAAGCTAGTGCTCCTATATAATAAATTTTCATCTAAGTTGAACTAATGCAGGATGTTAAAAAATGTCTATAATATGTCATGCCACCTTTTTAGTGGGTGACATTTATTCTGCTTCTCCCAAAAGACATAGTATGCACAAGCTTCAGTTTTTTAAAGGTTTACTTAGAGGCAAAAATACAACATGAAATACAAAATGCCCAGAGGGGGAAGACTGATAAAAATATGTGTAACACTCTCCAAAAGACATAGTATGCACAAGCTTCAGTTTTTTAAAGGTTTACTTAGAGGCAAAAGTACAACATGAAATACAAAATGCCCAGAGGGGGAAGACTGATAAAAATATGTGTAACACTCTTATTTTTAGCTTTCATTCAACTTGATTTTAATTTGAATTAATATGAAAAGCCATGACTGGATTACTCTCTGATTCATCTATGTATGCATTTGACTAGCAATTAACTTCTTTACTGACAAGAAAATGGTTTTGGAAATAGAGAAGAAAGAATAATGACCTCATGTGGTTCATCTACTCTTTTTACCCCTTACTTGCCTTTGTTGATTCCCGTAGCTACATGTCCCCTGCCCAGCTTGGTTTTAGTTCATTTACCTCTCTGCAGAACAACGCTGCTCTTCAGCTTCCCACATGATACCTAGTGAAACCTATTCTACTTCCCTCTCTTATACTTGCAGCAAATCTGTAACAATTGTAGGGGATGATCACCATTGAACAGTGTAGGAGCTAACTAGAAAGGAGAGAAAGAACATTTGGGTATTGTAGGTAACATGCTACATGCCAGGCCTAATCACCAAGCAGAAGCAGAAAGCATCTAAATCTAAGTTTTTCATAGAAGTTTTCAATCAAATGGGAAAGTACAGAATTCCACAAATGAAAAAGTAATATCTAGCCTGTAACTAACTACACATGTACTTAAATGACCTTTATCAAAAACAAGGGCTGGAATACAGAATTATCTTGTAGTACTGGACTAGGGAGGAAATAATCTATATTCTTTCAGCTAAATACACTTTTCATTGTTGTTAATCCAGCTTTTATGTATTAGCTCTGCCACTTAGAATAGGATATATAGAGTTTAAGCAAATCATTCAATCTTTAGGAGCTTGAATTTGCTTCATATGCAAAAAGAAGAATATCTGATTGATCTACCCCACAGTCATAGAAATCAGACAAAATAATAGAAAATACCTAAAAACTATTAAAGTATTATTCAAATGTAAGATACTCATTACCACTTTATAGCCTTATTAACTTTAAACTCATAACTGCATATTTACTACATGGGTTTTCAAAAGATTTTTTAATGTCAAGTGAGTTAATAAATACCTTAACTTTTTTTAAATACTGAGTAGTTGAAAAACAGAAATAAAACACTAAAAAGTGTTATTTTTTAGGTTAAAAGTCTACCAGAAAAAATGCAAATAATAAATTCATTCAAAAGTAAACAGTAACTCAAAACCCATAAGAAGACAATAACAGTTTTAATTTAATCTTGACTTTAAGGCAAACTCATCCATCATCAATACTGTTTACCTTGTAAGAGTGTTGCAATCTGAAGAGATTTCTGAGATGGATGTTCTTTCAGAATGTCTAAGACAGTTCTACCTAAGCTATCCTTTATGTTGGCATCAATTCCTGAAAGAAAAACAAAAACACACTAGATGTAAACCACTTGAGTGTCCTCAGAAGATAATGTCAATATATAACTATTGTAATTTCAAACATATATAGAACAAACACTGAAGGTGGTTTAAAAAGTTAAGTGCTACATATACACACACACACACATATGCACTAGATTTTAGCAAGAAAGAATGTGAGGGCCTACTGCTACCAAAGATTAGGAACATTCTTGATAATAAATTAACCCTCAAAGGGCACTGACCCAATCACTAAGATTGGTTTTCAGAGCTCAGTGATAGCTTTTGGGTTGTAGCTACTTAAATAGATAGTACACTCTCAAACTGAAAAATGTTATTGATTTAGAATGGAAATTTTTAAGTATAATGGTCATGTGATACATATATTCGGCATAGTATGATAAAAAATAATTAGTAAATGATAATCATGTACCACGTGAGTAATATAAGAACAGTCTTAGAGCACTTGAGCATTCACAAAAGTTAAAAAGGCATGATTATTTTGAACTATTGTACAAATATAATTTGTCCGATTATAAAGTCAAATACTCCTTGATATTTATTTGTGCAAGATTATATTCAATGCCAGCCATTCTCATCATCTACCTGGTGTGCGAACTTCTTAAAGCGTGTGACTGAAACACCTTTGTTAGTTATTATTTTAGTTCTGAAAATACTTATTGTACTAAAGAATTTATTTTAATGTAGTAAATAGTTTTCAGTGCCCTAAAAACGTTTATAAAACTTTCCAAACACCTAACTACAAACAAAACCAGTTTACAGGATCTGATCCCAAATGGCAGTTCATCATAAGATTATTAAATATTTGTTTAAATTTTTGTAGGGATGTATGACCAGCACATATTTAACTTGTTGTCTCACATCATTTCTTATATCACTTCATTGAATGTCAAAGTTAAATATACATGGAATTTTAAATTTGTACAAGCACACTCATAATTCAATAGTCTGTCAATATTTTTTCATTTTATTTTTTTACAGAGGACAATAAACACACTATATCCCATAACATGAAAGACTTACAGCAATTGTTTACAAGTATAAATTTGTACCCATGCCTTTTGATCCTAAGAAAAATCTGACCTGTTACAATTTTATTTCACTTCAGTCAGAATATACATATGAAGATAAATAGGCCTACTTTGCTATTTCTTCAAGGTATTCACTTTAAAAGGTTCCCTTTAAAATAAATCACTGTAACCTACAAACAATAGCTACTCAGTTGATAAAGAAACTAGAAAGAGAATTTACCTTAATAGGAGGGAGCTCAAATCTCTGTTCACCATATAAAAACCTAGGGAAAATACTATGCTCTTTCATAAACCAAGCAATTGTCATAACTTCTCAGGGATCAATTCTTTCCTCTTGTAAAAGGCAGAGATTTCTTTTTCCTTTTGGTAGTTTCTCTATTGTATTTAAATATGATTTAAATGTATAAAACTGCAATTACTGAGAGCTTTTCACTAAAATATCCATTAAGCAAAGGAAGGGGGGCACATTTATATCAATTTCATCTAAATACTGAGACTCAGTTCTACATGATCTGAATACATATCTGCAATTTTGGGTGAAGGTAAAAAAAAAAGAGTGATTTGTGAAAAGAAAAAAAACTGTGTCATTTTCTTTTGTCTACTTCTGAAATAGAAATAGTATTTGGCAGGATAACCTCCATGGAGAATCACAATAGTTACCTGTTTCTAACAGAACTTGCACAACATCCACTTTTCCAAACAAAGCTGCTTCATGAAGTGCACTCCCCTTTTCTGTCTAGAAAAAGAAGAAAAAAGCAAGCACAGTTGCATTTGAAATGCTTACAGGTTAAAATGTTCTGTCATTTTATGTATTGATACATATTTTCTGTCATCCTAGCTCTCTCCAACAGAAAGGTAGTATGGAATAAAGAAGAGATTCTAGAAACAAAATCCAACGCTTGGGTTTATAAACACCTCTGCTTCTGAATAGCCATTTGACTTTGTTATGTTAGTAAGCCACTCACCTTCTCTTTAAAAGCCTCAGCTGTCCTCAAGTATAAAATAAGTGTACTAATGCCTACCACACAGGGCTTTTATATCCAACAAGTTCACTCAATCAGCATGCATTTACTAAACACCAATTACATGCCAACAATAGTTAGAGAGATGTTCTGAGATATGAAAATATCATCCTGGCCCTAGTATATTCACATCCTATCTGAGGAGACATATGTATAAATAAATATCTGTGATAAATGAATTTTAAACAATTTAATGTGGCTTAGAAAACCCAGATGATCTTCTCTTTGCTTTCCTCTCCATTCCCTCTCTAACTCACCACAACCCCTCTCCTAGATCCCATACCCTATGTTTCAGGCTTACTGAGCTTTTTCATATTAGTGTCATTCCCTGTCTTCTTGCCAGGGGTCTCAAAGGCTGGTCCCTCAGGCTGGCAGGACCCAACTCCTAACCCACTTTGTCGGGCCCTCACATATATTACTAGCTTCCAATCTTCAGCATGAATCAGAATCACCTAGAGAGCCTTTTAAAAACCAGATTTCTGGGCTACATCCCAAGGGTTTCTGTTGGTAGCCTGAGATGAGGCCTGAGAATTTCCATTTATAACAAGTTCTCACATGACACTGAGGGTCTAAAGAGTACACTCTGAGAATCACTGACCTAAACTACATGCCAAATATTAGTTTAATATAACCTCATGTAGGAAGACATCCCTGGCCCTTGAAGTTTAGTGCTTTTCCTGTGTGTTCCACATCAATCTATATTTTCCTTATTACAGCTCTCATATACCACATTACTTACAAGTTCATGTGATTGTCTATTTCCCTTAATAAACTGTAACTTCAGTGGAAATGTAGATCACATCTATTTGTTTAACCATTGTACCCCCAATGCCTAACAAAGTATTTTGAAAATGTAAATATTTAGGAATTATTTTGAGAGTAAAAGGTGGAGGGAAGAGGAACACAAATGGAAAAGGGGGGAATTTGTGAGTAGTTCAGATATTTGTGAGTGGTGCAGGGTGAACTTGATTCTTTTTTTTTTTTTTTTCCCTGACCGGTAAGGGGATCGCAACCCCTGGCTCGGTGTCGTCTGCACCACACTCAGCCAGCGAGCACACCAGCCATCCCTATATAGGATCTGAACCCATGGCCTTGGCGCTGCCAGTGCCGCACTCTCCCGAGTGAGCCACAGGGCTGGCCCGTGAAATTGATTCTGATTTGAGGAAAACCAAAGAAGATTTCAAAGAGGATGTTTTTCAAGCTATAAAAATGTTAGAGTTTTTTTTAGACCTTTTTCTTCTCTCAAGAATCTAACAAATGTCTAACAGGTCGTGTGTGTGTGTGTGTGTGTGTGTGTGTGTGTGTGTGTGTGTGTGTGTGTTAAATTGAATAGTATCAATATCCCAGTCTCTAATGTCGGATTCTAATCTCAATCTGAAATAGAAATATTACTATAAAATAATATATAATGTAAAAACTTTAATTAATAAAAGTCTATATTGTATAATTAACTCAACCTAAAATAGTTCATAAGTGCATTGTTAAGGAGGCTTAAGGAACACTGAATATCAATGTGATCTGAATGTATCTTCAAGAAGGCATTACTGAAACGTATTGGAATTATAATGTAACTGGCATGGTATGTTCGGATACTAATAAAGATGGTAATAAAAATAATAATATATAAATATGCATCCCCATGCAAAGGAAAAATAAACTGTGAAAAATTATTCAGCTCTTAAAAATATATTTCAATGTGGGGCATGAACACTTGATTTTTTTCCATTCAATGAAAAAAATCCCTTGAAATTATCTAACTCTTCTCGCCCTCATTCTGTGGTTTGTCAACCACAGAATAATTTAATTAGCTTCCACTTCTCAAAAAATTTTGGACCTGATGTTAGAAAAACCCTTTCTGGATAGCACATCTTAAAATTCTAAATTTTAAATTAACTAAACATTTTTAATAAAGGGCTGAAGGAAAAAAGTAATGGAATTCCTCAGAGCCTGGGACACAGGGGAGCGGGAGAACCACAGGGGAGAGAAAGTATGAATCCATGGGGTTAGCAATGGAATAGGTATTTGTTGTAGAGAAACTGCCAGTCCATGGTAGACTAGTGCCTGGGCTTTAGACAGACATGCGAGATGGGAGTGGGAAGGGGGCAGTAAAGTCTGAAGTCCAAGCAAGCCATGATTGTACAGTGGTTAATACTCTGTGTTGTGAAGTACAAGCAAGCTGAAAGACTTGAACAGGGACCCTTGAAAAACTCTAAAACCTCTAAAGAAAAACACAGTTAAAAAAAATTCTAAGAAAAATATGCTGCACGAGGGGGAAAAAGTAAGGATGTCTATATAGAACTTAGTTCTAAGTGGAGTAGAGTAAAAGAAATAAACTCCCCCTAAGAATTCCTAAGGACAATTCCATATTCACGCGGTAAGTTTGGGGCAAATATTATACAATCACTATGACCCCCAGATCCTGAGCCAAAATGTAGAATAAAATGGTCTTGGATGTATAGTACCAGAAGCAGATATAAATGCCTTGCAGAAGCAGATACAACCCTCTCTAAAAAAAAATACGCTTTAAACTAGGCTTCCAAAAATTCCAACAGATAAAGCACTAACAAATACAAATTCAAAATTACAAATTAGCAAACATGAAAGTAAACAAGCCACCAGGAGCAAGAATTAGTAGAAACAAACGAAAAGAATAAAACCTACAAAAAGTCATCTATTAGAATGATTTATGGAATATAAATACACAATCAATAAGATGAAAGAACTAGATAACATCAAACATGACTAAAGAATAAGAGGACTATGAAAATTGACCGGATGTGACAATGAACCAAACAGCACTTCTAGAAATGAAAAATATAACATTTAAAATAGATGGGTTTGGCAACCCCACCCAGAGTTGTTCACTCCAGTGAGGGGCTGCAGAGTGCCCCAGCACTTCTCCCAGAAGCCCAAGGTCCTGTCTGCCCCTTCCAGCCACCCCACCTCCCCACTGCAGAGATGAAGCCTGCTCCAACAGAGTAGCAACTGAAGTGCTCCAACACCTCCCCCTATGGCCCAAGGGCTCACCTGTGGCCCCAGTGACCCCACACATTCCAGCAAAACATCTGCCAAGTGCTCCACAGCCAATCCAGGGGGCCCAAATTTCCAACTGTAGCACTCAAAAGCCCACCCACTCTAGCAGAAGAATCTTCCAGGTCCATAGGATTCACCCATGGCCCAGCAACACTGTCTACTTCAGCCTGAAGTCTGCTCACCTGAGGCCACCCCCCACCCACAACCCCACTTTTTTGTCCAGATGAGCTTCACATGCCTGCACACACCCCTTCAGGACTGAAGAACCAGCCCATGCAGAAACCCTCACCCCCATCAAAGCTCCATCATAGCCTCCACAAAGATCCACAGGCTTGATCACTGAGGCACTCACAGATAACTCCAACATTTAATACAGTCAAAAGAATTACATGGAGACTACACTACTGCATTCACCTAAAACTAAACCCCAAACACCCTGCCCAACTGACAATATAGAACACATCTACAGAAAAAAAAGTCTTTCCCCACAAAACCTCCTCCAGAAAATTAGAAGTGACTGTTCCACCAGATGCCCAGACATCAACATAGGGATACAAGAAACATGAAAAAACAAGAAAACATGACATCCACAAAGGAATACAATAATTCTCCAGTAACAGACCCCAAGGAAAAGGAAATCTATAAAATGCCTAAAAGATTTTTCAAAATTATAATCTTAAGGTGACTTGGTGAGATGCAAAATACAGATAGATAATTCAACAAAGTCAAGAAAACAATTCATGAACTAAATAAGAAATTCAACAGAGATAGATATTATAAATTAAAAAAAACAAGCACAAGTGTTGAAACTAAAGAATTCATCAAATGAAAAAAATTACAACCAGGAGCTTCAAGAACAGACTAGATCAAGCATTAAAAAAAGTTCTAAACTTCAAGACAGGTCTTTTGAAATAACCCAGTTGGAAAGAAGACGAAGAAGGAGGGGCAGGAGGAGGAGGAAGGGAGGAGAAAAAGAAAATAGAATCAAAAAGAATGAAGAAGGGCTATGAGATTTATAAGACAACTTTAAGCATACAAACATCCATACTATGGATCTTCCAGAAGGGGAAGAGAAAGAAAAAGGCATTAAAAACCTATTTAACAAAATAATGGCTGAAAACTTCTCAAGTTTTGTGAGAGATATGGACTTCCAGATCCAAGACACTCAAAGATCCCCAGACAGGTTTAATCCAAAAAGGTCCTCTCCAAGACACATTACAGTAAAACTTCCAACGGTCAAAAGCCAAGACAGAAATCTAAAAAAGTGTATTAGTCCATTTCTGTTGCTTATAACAGAATACTTGAAACTGGGTAATTTATAAAGAAATGAAATTTATTTCTTACAGTTTCGGAGGTTAAGAAGTCTATGGTCTGGGAGATGCATCTAGTGAGGGCCTTCTTCTGGGTAGGAACTCTCTACAGGATCCAGGGGAAAACATGGTATCATGTAGCAAAAGAATGGCCTGAGCAAGAGAGCTAATCTCCTTACTCACTTTCCTTATAAAGCCCTGAGAACCATGCCCATAACAACCCATTAAACCATCAACCCATTATTCCATGAATGTATCAATCCATTCATAAGCACATAATCCTCACAATTCAATCACCTCCTAAAGGCCTTAACTTCCACCACCATATTGGGGGTTAAGTTCAACATGAGCTTGGGGGGACATTTCAAAGA